CTGTACATGAAATGTACAGAAGTATATTAGGTTTGCGGGAGCTGAAAAATGTAGCAGGCAGAAGGAGGCGTGGCAGACCCCACAAAGTATATATATTCTTGATCAGCATGACGAGACGAGTCGATCTAGCCCTGTCTGTCTGTCTGTCTGTCTGTCTGTCTGTCCGTCTGTCCGTCTGTCAGTCTGTCCGTCCGTATGAACACCTGGATCTCAGAGACTATAAGAGATAGAGACACAAAATTTTGCACAAAGATGCGTTATGTGTGTATTCTATACGAGTTTGTTTTATTTTTTTGATTTTCCCCCCCACTTCCCCCTTATGGGGGTTTTCCCGATTTTCCATTCGTATAATCGCCTATATCTCGGAGACTATAAGACCTAGGAACACCAAATTTTAGTCCCAGATGCCTTATGTGAATACGCAGAAAATATATATTTTGGAGTTTCCCTCCCTCCCTCCTCTACCCCGCAAATCGTAACTCCCGTAATTCTTGGAATTTCGAAAAAAAAATTTTGTAAATACCCCCAGTTGGTTATTATATGTCCGTATACCAAGTTTCACTATGATAGACCGATTTAACGAGAAGTTATAGCCATAAATATATTTGCTGCTGCAGCGCTGCCCGCGGCTGTTGATGCTGGTGCTTTGGTTGACTGCACACATATTTACACAGACACGAATAGATGCGAATAGGCATACATACACTCACACAGACGCAATTGCTTTGTAAATGTGCAATTATACACCCTTTACGTGAGTTCGAATACCGAGAGAGGTAAAATCGATCAAATTTTTTTTTATTTTCTTAATTTTTTTTTTATTTTCTATAATTATTGTAAACATATGTACAGAGTATTTCAAAGTCGGGACACCCGACCTTAGCTTTTTTACTTGTTTGTTTTACCGTTGTGATGTTTTGATGATTTGTGTTTGTAGATTTTGTTACAGTCTGCGCGGAGAAAAGTGTTTCACTACTTGCTTGCTTTTCTAGTATTTGCCTTGGTAGGTGGGTGGACTGGTTGGTGACATCAGCATAGGAGAGTGCAGGGCATTTGACCTGCGGGCGGCTTAACGCGGTTAATTTTTGTGCAGCTTTTTTATAAGTGCATTTAGTTTGGCATTGTATTTTTAGTATTTCTTTTTGTTGAATAAATTTTGGGCATTTGTTACTTGAAGCGGGGTGTTCTTCGTAGCAATTGGCGCATTGGGTACGGGTACATCCATTTTCGTGTTCCGGGAGGCTACACCCAACGCATATTGCTGATTTGGAGCACCTCTTGGTGGTGTGCCCAAAGAATTGGAAATTCTTGCATCTCATGGGGTTGGGGGTATATGGTCTAACTTTTGTTTTGTGCCAGGTTATATCCATGGATTCTGGGAGATGGTATAAATTAAATGTCATCAGAACTACTCCTGTTTGTTTCGGTTTTCTTCGACGATTTGGTAAATTTATAAACAGCTGAGACTTCAGTTTGCACTCAATTTCCTTTTCGGGAACTTTGATAAGACATGGTGCATAGACCGTGCCTTTGATAGTGTTTAATGTTACGTGAAGGCTGCATTTGATTTTGCATATTCCTACTAGTTCAGTAGTTAAACAAACATAGCGAACCGATTGTCCCCCAGGCTAGGTTGCCCTGGGGGTATATTATCAATATCTTTTGAGAACTCCAGGTTTTGCACCGACTTCGCAGTGAAGCAGTGAAACCGAGTAAAGTCAAAAGCATGTACGAGTTTTAAGAAAGATAAGCGGAGTAGCTGTAGTAAGCGTCTGCACCAATTGAGTAATAACCGAAGATATCAGGATACCAGTACCTCCACGAGCCTTACCATCGAAATGATTGGTCGCATAGAAGTTGTAGCCATTGAGATGAAAATAATTTTTGTTTGTACCATTGTATTTGTTAGAGTTGCCAGAATTGATTAGGAATCGATTAACGCCTTAGCAAAAGATATTCCTGGAATCGTAGTTGATGGTATGTACGGCAAGTTTTGTTGGATGACTGGATTTCGGGCTGCGGATTTAGTTAGCTTAGGTGACTTTTTAACTCTTTGTATACAGGGCAGTGTGGTTTCCCCCACAGTTGCAACATTTTTTAGCAGTCCTCCTTTTGGGGTCCTCCTTATCTACAGGGCAGGCCTCATTGAGATGTGTCCACATTCCTGGCAGTTTGTGCATTGGGCAGGTCCGTTTCAATTGTGCGGTTCCTCAACGGTGATTTTATGGTGCAGTAGATATTGCAGCTTGTAATTTGGGTGATCCTCATAGTAATGATAATACCATATAATCTCTTCTTAACAATCTCCAAGTACTTTAGGCTAGAACTTCGTGTTAAATTTAACTAATCATTGCACAAATGCAATACTAATCACTCGCAGTGAGTTGAGGCAGAGCTGCCAGTTTTTGCGACTAAAAAACCCCTATACGATTAGTACCGTATTGCTACATTTTTTTACATTTGAGTTCTGTTTATGTTTTTAGATTTTACTTTGTTGTAAAAAATGGCAGCATGATTTGCTATTGATTGTAAGATAAATAAATAAAAACAAGTAAAAAAGCTAAAGTCGGATGTCCCGACTTTGAAATACTCTGTACATATATTTAGAATAATTATAGAAATTTAAAAAAATTAAGAAAATTTGAAAAAATAATTTGTCCGATTTTACCTCTCTCGGTATTTGAACTCACGTAAAGGGTGTATAAGTTCGTTTCTGTGTAAGCATGTTTCCAGTCAACCAAAGCATCAGCATCAACAACAGCTGCGGGCAGCGGTTGAGCAAGCGCGTGGGCAGCAAATATATTTATGGCTATAACTTCTTGTTCAATCGGTCTATCATAGTGAAACTTGGCATACGGACTAACTGGTGGTATTTCCCAAATTTCAAAATTCCAAGAATTACGGGAGTTCCGATTTGCGTGGGAGAGGGGGTGTGGAGGAAAATTCCCAAATACAAAATTTCTGCGTATTCACAAAAGTCATCTTGGACTAATTTGGTGTTCCTAGGTCTTATAATCTCCGAGATATAGACGATTATACGAATGGAAAATCGAAAAAACCCCCTTAAGGGGGGAAGGGGGGGGGGAATCAAAAATATAAAACAAACTTGCACAGCGTACACACATAAGCCATCTTTGTGCAAAGTTTGGTGTCTCTAGCTCTTATAGTCTCTGGGATCCAGGTGTTCATACGGACAGTCAGACGGACAGACAGACATAGATTGACTCGTCTTGTCATGCTGATCAAGAATATATATACTTTGTACGGTCTGCCACGCCTCCTTCTGCCTGTTAAATTTTTCAGCTCCCGCAAACCTAACATACTCTTGTACATTTCATGTACAGAGTATAATTACAAAGGGCGGAAGTGTGTTTGGCTACAGGTGATTATACACCTAATTCTGTTTTTACACGTTAGATTGGTTTCAGAAAAAAACGGTGTAACAAAAGACATTGATCATATGCAAATATAGGTGATTGCTTCCTTATCTCTAAAACCTATTAAAATCAGTGACAAAACAATGATTCGCGTTTACTTTATTGTTTATTAAATCACATACAAGCTAACAAGTAACCCTCGCACCTAATTGTTTGGCGGCCCATGCACGCGCGGACACATGAATTCTTAAGTTCGGCGACCTAGCTGCAGCAGTCAGCGACGGTAACCTGGTGCTTTGCTATGTCGCAAGAGTTTCTGTTATCGCCCGCAATTATGCTGAGTCACCTTGCCGACCATGACTCTTGCAGCGTCTTATTTAGAATTAAGCTTTCAATTATTGTCTTTAGCTTAAGCCGTACCAAGTTTGTATTTGTGAATTGAGTTCTGTATCAGCGTTAAGAGAGTGCAATACTCATACAATACATTGCTCCGGCATCGCCGTGAAATATAGTACCGTTTGTTTTATTGCTGCGCCACAAGGCCAGCTAATGGAAAGCTTTCGCTAACCCAAAATATTAATAAACGTATCAACTAACGTATGAACTGCATAGCGCAGTATATTGATCGTAGAGAAAACTAGCTCATAACGCAGCATATTGCTCATTAAGAGGGGAATAGCTGCACAACCCTACATATGATCAACTAGAAAAATAACTTACACACATATGTATATAATGTGCATAATAGCAGCTATTTTGAGTTATTTTGAATCGTGCTAAATGGAATAAAATAACCATATTAAAAATTTTAAATTTGCAAATCTTGTTAAATCAAAACCGTGTAAAAAAAATACCGTATAAAAACAGAACTAAGTGTACTGTCCTTCCAGCTCGACTGTAGCATTCCATCTTGTCTCTTCGTTTCGTAAAATTGTCTATCTGGTTAAATCAATTGTAAGTGAACATTGCGAAAAAAGAACAACTGCCCAACTTATAGTAAAACATTGCTTTCGTACATATGTCAATCCCTATTAATTCGATGGCTTGGCCTTGGAACTACCGGAAATTTCAGCCATATAAATGATCAAATGGGATCGGTGGGATGCTATTCAGGAATTTTAAAGGTAATTTTTCTACACCTTTGGTTACATTATTGGTGTTTTAGTAAGGATTCCATTCTTTTTTCCAAATATAATATAGCCCATGTTAACCGTCGATAGTGTAGCTTCCCAACAGTTAAAGAATCCATTAAATTGGTCCAGTAGGTTCGGATCCTTTTAAATCCAAAGAAACAATCAAATCTTTCCTCTTTATAATATTAGAATAGATTGAGCCTGGTCACACTGCGCTAACAATTAATCTGGTAATTGGTATTTTTTTGTCAACAAAATAAAAAGAAACCAAACAAGGACTTAAAAGTTTTGTAAGATACTGGTTTATCGAAGCAGCTGTCTTTGGAGAATTCGGATAATTTATACTAATAAAAATACATACGTATTATATAGGTATAACATTTCAAGTATGATGTACATAGATGTAGATGTTGAGCCGTCTGGACAGCCCTTATTTTATCGATGACACTACTTATCGTCACAAGTCTTTATTGAATCGAAATACCGGTAATCGATTGCTTTCATATATTGTTTTAGTCATCTTTTCTAAGAGTAGATTTCGTCGTGTGCTTTCTTATAAATCTCGTTGAGATAATTATTATTTAAAATGGTAAGATAATTTGTATTATAAACATGTTTTATTCAACTATATATGTACATTATTCTGGTTGAACTATTACCCTAATGTGCATATAATCAAAAAACTTCGCATCTTTTATCACTTATACTGGATGCTTAACTTTCATATGACCTTTCTATAAATTATGATTATATAAAACCACCGGTAAAAACTTGAATAACGAAAATGAAAAGACCCATGCAAACATAATTTGTAATCAAGGTTTCCCAGTTTTCCACACTAGATCAACTAATTGTATAAAGGAACCCCTAGCTTATGTTAACCATTCCGCTTACTGATCATAAGTTTATACATATACATATGTATGTATGTACATACATTTGCATATGTATGTATGTACGTACATTTGCACATCTATGTATGTATGTACAATGCATCCTGAAACCATACATATGTACATATTTCAAAAATATTTAAGCTACAAAAAAATAATACTAAGAATAAGAAAACTGGGTAACGACAAATTTGAACCACTTGCGGCTAAGCTAAAATGCTATATGTACATTGTATGTATTTGTTCATATTTAAGCCTTACATAATTATACCCTGTACCCAAAGGGTAAAGGCCTATATTAGTTTTGTGCGAAAGTATGTAACACACAGAAGGAGGCGTGGCAGACCCCACAAAGCATATATATTCTTGATCAGGGTGACAAGCCGAGTCGATATAGCCATGTCCGTTTGTCTGTCTGTATGAACACAACGATCTCTATAAAAGCTAGAATAACCAAACTTGGTGTACAGATTCTCCTGAGGCCGAGAAAGGACGAATTTGTTCATTTTTCCCGATGCACCCCCCACTCTCCCCCCCCCCCCCCCCCCTATTCACGATTTTCTATAACTCCCGTATTTCTTGGAATTTTTAACTTAAATTTGGTAGACACATCCAGATAGTGATTATACTTGTATATCTGTATAATAAGTTTCATTATGATATGTTGATCAGAAAGTTATAGCCATATAACCAGGGTCAATGCACACATACATACATACATACATATGTACAAGTACACAAACACGCATAGATTCTGATGTAAATGTATGTATGCATGTATGGAATATTTTATTTATTTAATTAATTAATTTCTTTTTTTGTGGGGTGGTACAGGGTATTTAAGAGTTGAGCCTGCTCGACTTAAGCATTCCTTTCTTGTTTGTTTTATATTTTTCTCATCTCTTTATACAATGAGAACATGCGTTAGCCAAATACCTTTGTATGGTGTTTTTGGTTTTCTTTTATTTTCAATCTAAAAGAGTGTCTGATGTTTCTGCCAACAGGTTAGCACATGCAATTAGTGTTTCATTTATCTGCGAAATTCGAACACATTTTGCCACCAATTTTTTTAAATCTTAAATTTATTTTCTTTTATATGAGTAAAGGAAAGATGCCATCACTTAACGAGAAACCAAAAATCGAACCTTATAAAAAGTTAAAGCTTTCAATAATAGAAATAGCAAAATAGAAGGCAAAAGTCGAAATGTTATATTTATACAAGTATTCTTACGAAAAAGTCGGGATGTGGTCGAAATAATAAAAGTGGTACTAATAAACCGATTTCCGATGTTGATAAGAGTTAAATTTTGAGAGAAGCATCCACATGAATCGACCCAAAGATCAGGGCAAATGTTGGTGTTGAAACGAGCTTATATACTATTCAAACGGTGATAAGGAATCACAAAATCACTACCTAACGATGCTAGAAAAGAAAGAAGACTCAATTTCGCTCGAGAGCACACGGCTGGAAGTCTGTTATCTTTTCGGATGAAATGAAATTTAATTTGGAAAGATCCTATGTTATCTTTTCGGATGAAAAGAAATTTAACGCTGTAACGCTGACTTATTTTAGTGGCCGCCTTACTCAACAGACATCAATATTATATATAACGTGTAGGGATGGTGGGTTCGCAAAGTTAACGAATTTGGCAGGCAGTATTCCACCAAAAGGAATTAATTAAAGGGGAATCTGGATATCAAGTTTGGTTATTCTAGCTCTTATACTTTCTGAGATCCTTGCGTTCATACAGACAGACGGACATGGCTATATCGACTCGGCTTGTCACCCTGATCAACAATATACATATATACTTTGTGGGGTCTTCCCCCTCCTCCTTGTGTGTGACATGTACACTCGCACGAACCTACTATACCCTTTTACCCTTTGGTACAGGGTATAACAAGAAAGGAATGCTAAAGTCGAGCAGGCTCAACTCTTAAATACCCTGTACCACCCCACAAAAAAGTAATTAAATTAATTAATTAATTAAATTTAATTAATTTAATTTAATTAATTAACTAAATTAATTTAATTAATTAACTAAATTAAATATAAAATATTCCATGCATGCATACATACATTTACATTTACATCAGAATCGTGCCTTATGCGTGTTTGTGTACTTGTACATATGTATGTATGTGTGCATTGGGCCTGGTTATATGGCTATAACTTTCTTTCCGATCATTCTATCATAATGAGACTTGGTATACGGTTATATAATAACTAACCTAATGTGACTACCAAATTTGAGTTCAAAATTCCAAGAATTACGGGAGTTATAGAAAATCGTTAATAGGGGGGGAGTGGGGGGGTGGATCAGAAAAAATGAACAAACTCGTCCTTTCTCGGTCTCAGGAGAATCTGTATACCAAGTTTGGTTATTCTAGCTCTTATACTTTCGGAGATCCTTGCGTTCATACAGACAGACAGACAGACGGACATGGCTATATCGACTCGGCTTGTCATGCTGATCAAGAATATATATACTTTGTGGGGTCTACCAAGCCTCCTTCTGTGTGTTCCATGTGCACTCGCACAAAACTAATATACCCTTGTACCCTTTGGGTACAGGGTATAAAAATTAAATAAATTAATTTAATTTAGTAAAATATATTTACAAGACATGTTTATGTCCAGTTTCAACAGCATACATTTACATCATCGTGTCTATGCGTGTATGTATGCAGTACATAATTACGGCAAAGCAGCAACAACAACAGCTGCGGGCAGAGCCTCGGCAGAGAAAATATTTATGGCTGTAACTTTCGTCTTAATCAACGTATCGTACTGAAACTGGCATACGGACTCATAATCATTAACTGGAGGTACTTGCCAAATCTGAGCACAAAATTCAAAAATTACGGGAGTTATGGAAGTACAAAAAAAATAAACACAAACTCGATTCTGGCTGAATGTCAAGTTTGGTTATCCTAGCTATTGTACTTGCTGATATCGTTGCGCTCATACACACAGACGGACGGGCATGGCTATATCGACTCGACTTGTCACCCTGATCAATAATATATATACTTGTGGGGTCTGTCACGCCTCCTTCTTTGTGTTACATACATTCGCACAAAACTAATATAGCCTTTTATCTTTTGGGCACAGGCCATAAAAAAAAATTTGATTTATATATATATAAATATAAAGTCCATTATGTATTCAGTTTATAATTATATTGTGTTTTTATATTCTTATGCTGTACTTTCAGACTGAAGCTATTCGCGTTGTAGTGACTGGTGCTGCGGGCCAAATTGCTTACTCCTTGCTTTATATGATAGCACGAGGTGAAGTTTTTGGAAAAGATCAACCCCTCATACTGCATTTGTTGGATATTCCTCCTATGGCCGGAGTCCTTGAAGGCGTCGTTATGGAGCTGGCTGACTGCGCTTTACCTTTATTGCAAGAAGTAATTCCTACAACAGACCCAAAAGTAGCATTCAAAGACGTTTCTGCGGCATTTCTCGTTGGTGCCATGCCCCGCAAAGAAGGCATGGAGCGGAAAGATTTGTTGTCTGCAAATGTAAAAATATTTAAAGTACAGGGCCAAGCTCTTAATGAGTTTGCCAAAAAGGATGTAAAGGTTCTCGTTGTCGGAAACCCAGCAAACACCAATGCTTTGGTGTGTGCCAATTATGCTCCGTCAATTCCTAAGGAAAACTTTTCCGCTATGACTCGCCTTGATCAAAATCGTGCAACATCACAGATTGCTGCTAAGTTGGGTGTTCCAATAGCAGCCGTTAGCAATATTATAATTTGGGGAAATCACTCTTCGACTCAATATCCAGATGCAGGCCAAGGAAAAGTTTTCATAAATGATGTCTGGAAGTCAGTAACCGAAGTACTCAACGACACTTCCTTCCTTCAAGGTCCATTTATTGATATTGTACAGAAACGTGGCGCAGCCGTTATTGCTTCACGCAAAATGTCATCTGCTATGTCAGCTGCAAAATCTGCATGCGACCATATGCATGATTGGTGGAATGGTACTGCACCAGGAAAGTTCGTTTCTATGGGTGTTTTTTCTGATGGCAGTTATGGTACACCAAAAGATGTCGTTTTTTCATTTCCTGTCGAGATTAAAAACAAGCAGTGGAAAATTGTGCAGGGTTTGACAATTGATGGATTTTCAAAGTCTAAGTTGGATATAACGGGTAATGAACTTCGTGAAGAAAGAGACGAAGCGTTGTCTGTTTTAGAGTCAAATTGACTAGCAACTGGGCTGAGCTCGAAACTGTAGGAGACAACGTATATCTGGTGCAATTTCTAGAAAAATTGTAATTTTTTGTTATGTAGTAGTCTGTGGAAAACAATCATTCTTAAGGCATTTAACAGTAGAGTTCATTGAACTTTTTATATTCAGTGAAGATACATTTATATTATAGATGTGATTTTGAAATAAATTGTAAATTGTACATCATTTTTAGTTTTATTTTCTTTTTATACTCTGTACATGAAATGTACAAGAGTATATTAAGTTTGCGCGAGCTGAAAAATGAAACAGGCAGAAGGAGGCGTGGCAGACCCCACAGAGTATATATATTCTTGATCAGCATAACAAGACGAGTCAATCTAGCCCTGTCTGTCCGTCTGCCTATCTGTCCGTATGAGCACCTGGATCTCAGAGACTGTAAGATCTAGAGACACCAAATTTTGCAAAAAGATGCAGTATCTATATGAGCTGTTAACAGCTCTAACCTGCATTCTAACTCAATTGGCTCTAACAAAATCGAGCCTTCTTTTAATTGCCGTTGCATATGACGTATACTCTTCATGCCCTCGCTCTTCCTTTTAAGTTCTTCGATCAAGTCCTTACTCATATGGATTTAAGGTTTTAAACTTTGATCGAACGAAAATTGTTGAGTGACAAATGAGAAATCGAAGTAATATCAGCAAGTGTAGGGGAGCGCAACAGATGGTCGTCTAGTAGTGTGAAGGAAAACGAGAATAATTGCAGTTGACTGGCCGTCAAGGGCAATACTTTCGAAAACAGCAGCGCAAGTGGCTTCAAATAAACGAATATAAATAATAAACGAATGAAACTAAAATACAAGTCAATGACGAAAATAACTATCGATCAGTGGCCAAATACCTGGGCGATGAAAAGATGAACTACTACACCTACTAACTTTAAAGTAGCAAGGTATTACAAGTGGTTATCAAAGGAATACAGCTAACAGTTCCAGTCAGCGAGATAAAAGATAAGGGATTTGAAGTCACAATGGCCATGAACATAAAAAATAGAAATAAAATTCCCCAACCAATATTCAAGGGAGAACTGACACCTGACTGTATGCCTATAAATAACAAGTAAAAAAGCTAAAGTCGGGTGTCCCGACTTTGAAATACTCTGTACATATGTTTACAATAATTATAGAAAATAAAAAAATTAAGAAAATAAAAAAAAATTTGATCGATTTTACCTCTCTCGGTATTCGAACTCACGTAAAGGGTGTATAATTACACATTTACATAGCAATTGCGTCTGTGTGAGTGTATGTATGCCTATGCGCATCAATTCGTGTCTGTGTAAGCATTTTCGCAGTCAACCAAACAGCAACATCAACAACAGCCGCGGGCAGCGCTTGAGCAGCGCTGCAGCAACAAATATATTTATGGCTATAACTTCTTGTTAAATCGGTCTATCATAGTGAAACTTGGCATACGGACACCTAATAACTAACTGGGGGTATTTCCAAAATTTTAGTTCGAAATTCTAAGAATTACGGGAGTTACGATTTGCGGGGTAGAGGGGGGAGGGAGGGAAATTCCAAAATATACATTTTCTGCGTATTCACATAAGGCATCTGGGACTAAAATTTGGTGTTCCTAGGTCTTATAGTCTCCGAGATATAGGCGATTATACGAATGGAAAATCGGGAAAACCCCCATAGGGGGGAAGTGGGGGGAAAATCAAAAAAATAAAACAAACTCGTATAGAATACACACATAACGCATCTTTGTGCAAAATTTGGTGTCTCTATCTCTTATAGTCTCTGAGATCCAGGTGTTCATACGGACGGACAGACAGACAGGGCTAGATCGACTCGTCTCGTCATGCTGATCAAGAATATATATACTTTGTGGGGTCTGCCACGCCTCCTTCAGCCTGTTACATTTTTCAGCTCCCGCAAACCTAATATACTTCTGTACATTTCATGTACAGAGTATAAAAACGAAGTTCACCCAATTTACAAGTTGCAATATCTACTGCACCGCAAAATCACCGTTTAGGAACCGCACAAACGAAATGCCTGTCCAATGCAAAAACTGACAGGAATATGGACACATAAAAACCTATTGTACCCTACGCGCAGTCTGTGCTGCCTGCGGGGATGTATATTTCAATGAGGCCTGCCCTGTAAGTAAGGAGGACCCCTCTGCTAAAAAATGTAGCAACTGTGGGGGAAACCACACTGCCAACTATAGAGGTTGCCCTATATAGAAAGAGTTAAAAAGTCGCCTAAGCCAACAAAAGTCCGCAGCCCGAAATCCAGTTATCCGACAAAACTTGCCGTACATACCATCAACTACGATTCCAGGAATATCTTTTGCTAAGGCGTTAAGTTACATCAACGAGGCGTACGCCTCAGTCTCTAAACCACTGCAGGAATAATGAATCGTCAGACATCGCAACAGGCCAGAAACTACTGCCCAACATACCACTGCAAATCCATCCCAATTGCATAGTTTTTTGATTGGGATTGAATCAATTCTGGCAACTCTAACAAATACACAGCACAAATGCGAGCCCTTTCAGTTCCTCAATCAACATGACATGGCTACAACTTCTATGCGACCAATTATCCTGATGGTAAGGCTCATGCAGGTACTGGCATCCTGATAAAGCGTCGCATCAGGCACTATACGTTGGCATCATTTTCTAAAACTTATCTACAGGCCACAACAATTCATATCTAAATTCAAAGCGGCTATTTGAGATAGCTTAAGAGAATATATTTGGAATTTAGCATACGGTAAAAAAGAGCATGAGAGCGGCCGTATAAAAGTAATTTATATAAAATATAAAGTTTCACTATTGTTCATTTCAAAATCGACCACGTTGTCATTTAATTCTGTAACACGCAGGTTGTTAATACGAGCGAGATGGGTGTAGACGCATAAGGCGTGGATGTTGGCGTGAGCCTAGTTTATAAGCTGAGTACATAAGTTAATACATACTGAATTCTGTATTAGTGTAAGCAAGAAACGTGACTTTAGCTTAGTTATACTCTGTACATAAAATGTACAAGAGTATATTAGGTTTGAGGGAGCTGAAAATGTAACAGGCAGAAGGAGGCGTGGCAGACCCCACAAAGTATATATTCTTGATCAGCATGACAAGACGAGTCGATCTAGCCCTGTCTGTCTGTCTGTCCGTCCGTCTGAGCACCTGGATCTCAGAGACTATAAGAGATAGAGACACCAAATTTTGCACAAAGATGCGTTATATGTGTACGCTGTGCAAGTTTGTTTTATTTTTTTGATTTTCCCCCAATGGGGGTTTTCCCTATTTTCCATTCGTATAATCGCCTATATCTAAGAGACTATAAGACCTACGGACACCAAATTTTAGTCCCAGATTCCTTATGAGAATACGCAGAAAATGTGTATTTTGGAATTTCCCTCCCTCCCCCCTCTCCCCCGCAAATCACGATTTTCTCTAACTCCCGTAATTCTTGGAATTTCGAAAAATGTTTTAAATACCCCAAGTTAGTAATTATGTGTCCGTACGCCAAGTTTCATTATGATAGACCGCTTGAACAAGAAGTTATAGCCATAAATAAATTTGCCGCGCTGCCCGCGGCTGTTGTTGATGTTGCTGTTTGGTTGACTGCTAACATGTTTACTCACACACGAATATACGAGCATATTCATACATACACTCACATAGACGCAATTGCTATGTAAATGTGCAATTATACACCCTTTACGTGAGTACAAATACCAAAAGAGGTAAAATCGATCAAAAAAATTTTTTTTAATTCTCTTACTTTTTTTAATTTAAATAATTATTCTAAACATATGTACAGAGTATTTTAAAGTCGGGACACCCGACTTTAGCTTTTTTATTTGTTTTGTGACACATTTGTAGAGACCATGATCACTAAATTTGGTGATCATGATCAGTGATCAGTTGTGCCTGGTGAATGCGCCCATTGTTTCTCCAGTTTTAAAGCCACAATTAAGTTTCACTTCAACCGCATGTTGCCCAGACACATACATTTTTTTCTTTAAATCACATTTTGCTTGCGCCCATAAATATGTAACTCTTACATAAAAATAATGTTTTTCCAAGTTTTTTCAGCTATGGTTGGTTACTACCACATTGGTTAAACCCTACACTGCACTATGGTTTTTAGGCCCGTTGTTTTGGCAGAAAGTCAAAAAAAAATATTGTCCAAATATTAAAAATTGTGTTTTCATCTTATTATAAATTATTAAGCCACCTAATTTTTTGGCATAAATTGAAAAATCTTATTTTGATATTACTTGGTATACCTTGTACCAAAAGGATGACATACTAGTTTTGTGCGAATGTATGTAACACACAGAAGGAGGCGTGGCAGACCCCACAAACTATATATATTATTGATCAGTATAACAAGACGAGTAGATATAATTATATGTATATATGATCGTCTGTCTGTATGAAAATACCTCCAGTTAATGATTATGAGTCCGTATGCTAAGTTTCATTAAGATAGGTTAATTATGAAGAAAGTTATAGCCATAGCCTCTGCCCGCTGCTATTGCTGTTGTTGCTGCTTTGACGTAATTATGTATCTAAGCTTAAACACTTATTTAAAGACAGCATAGTGTTCGAATCTGACATTATTTCATTTTCGGAAACATGGTTAAATGACTCTGTTTCTGACTATGAAATTCTGTCAAATGTTTTTACCATTTATAGGCGATCTCAGTCAAATCCACCCTTCGATCAGAACTTGTTTATGTAAATATAAATTCTGAAGTAGAATTTATTGCTGTTAAAGTAATTCTATCTTCACATGCTGTATTTATCACTTGCTCTTATATTCCTCCTTCTGTTCATCTTCAAGTTTATATGCACCATATAAATTGTATCTGCGAAGGCTCTTCTTCTTTGCGGGATAATGACGCCCTCATTGTGGTCGGTGATTTCAATCTGCCAAGTTTTCCCAGCTCAACAGATTAATATCAACAACTGATTGTTCATTTCTATTCGAACCCGTTGACATTAAAATCGCGTCTACTTTTTTCTATGAGACCATTCTCTCCCTTTTCGATGTCTGCATTCCCTATAGCGTTGTACCGTCTTCCTCAATTAAGCCTCCTTGGTTTAATCATCAACTTTCCACTTTAAAGAATAAGAAACCTAGGTATTTTTACAAGTTCAAGCAAACTGGATCTTGTTTTGACTTTTCAAAATACTCTATA